TTTGGCACCCCATGGTTTGAATAAAAGAAAGGAATTTCATTTGAAAAACAGAATTTGCTATAATTAATTTCCCATCTTATATTAGGCGCTACTAATTGATCGTTCAAAGGCCCTTTTCTTGGATTTTGTCAGCCCTTTATGTGTGGATTGGACTCAGAGGCCCTGCCAAGGGATCTTATTATGATTAGTACGAACACTGGTCCCTTGGATCGGACACAAATGTGTAACATCAGACATTTGTATCTCACATCGGACACTATTGTATAGTTTTAGAAACTAGTGTCTTAAATCGGACACTTGTATGTAATACCGGACACAAGTGCCAGAAATCGGGCGCTAGTGTCCTAGATTGGACACTAGTATGTAATATCGATACTAATATCTAAAACCGTCCACTGTGTCTGAAATCAGAAAATATTGTCTAAAATCATACACTGATGCCTTTAATCGGACATTGGGCTCTTAAATCGGACGCTGCTCACTTAAAACTGACACTAATGTGTAACATCGGACACTAATGTCTAAAATCGGACACCTATGTACACTAGGAAATCTAAAAAATAGTAATGCTGTGGCATATTCTGTTGATAGTGATATATTTTAAGCAGTGAATCATCTACCTGCGCATTCCAAGAATTACTTTGACAAACATATCTCGGAAGTTATTTTCTGCGGGAGAGGAAGTATACTAAAAAACAAAGAAATTAGTGCGCGCACAGAAGAAAAGTATTGCCTTTTATAACACAATCCCATCCGGCTTTGCCAAACCTCAAGAACATGCAGATGTGGAAATGACATCTTAAAACTAATCCATGTTTCTAAATCGCAAAGGAAAGTTTAAGAGATATCCTGATAAGAGCTTGGCTTTGAGGGCAGAAGATTTAAAAGCACTAGCGAATGGCCTATCAACACTTCTTTTGCTTTCCGGCGTAACGGCGTGTCACCTTACGCAAGGTAGAGTTATTCATAGATCAAGTGACTCCTTTCATTGATCTAGTTCAATTGTCCTTCATTCAGTGCTCAAGATTGTAGATTTACCATTCAGTACTAGTGACTAGTTAATTCGCCTTTACTTAGGAAAGTGGATTTACAACACAATTGAGTACATATAGGAAATGTCCTTTCAGTAGTAACGCTAGGTAACGCAATACACAATACTCGTGATACAACAATCGTGGCGCAGTACACTCCGGTTAAATGCTACGATGCATTCTGGTAAAAAGTTATAAATTCAAGAATTCGCATCCCCTATACTCTTTTAAAATCCTGATCATGATGCTGCTCGCTCGCTCGCTCGCTGCGCAGCAAAAATTGAAGGCTCTTGTCAAAAATCGGACACTGCCGATCTGAAATCGCACAGCAGAATCGTACACTGATACGAAGCACCGAAGGCACCAAAATCATTAACGTTGGATATCCCTAGGATAATAAAAGCTTTTAATGTCTAAAATAGGACACAACGGACAAAGGCGCCTAAAAGTGTCTAAAATCGGCCACAAGTGTCCAAAATCGGATACTAATGTTTTAAAACGAATTTAACAATTCGTGCAAAATCCAATGTGCCGAAGGTATCATATCATCGAAGTTGGGACCCCTCCCCCCCCCGGATAATAAACGCATAGACTGATTAAATAATAGAAGTGTGTAAATAGCATTCCGGTCCTCTCAATGGGTGATCTTTTGTCATTCAAGTTTTCAACCGTCTATAGGGTATTTGCTGGTGCAACTGCAGGTGGGCTTCACACACAACTCAACTTTTGATGGTAATAAGGCATTTAACTCAAAGTAAAAAAAAAAATTTCTATTCATCCGTATTCATATTTTATTTTGCATTCCCTCGCCAACTTATTTTCTACTATTTCAAATATTAAGTACTAATTATTTTGCTATAGGCGATTTGCAGCCACTGACGACAAGAAAATTGTTCACCTAATTTTAATCTCCTCGGTCGACACTTGTACATTCTTTTCAATGGTATTAACCGTAAGAGCCTGCCAGCTGAATTACTGTTGTTGCGTTTCTCAGCATATGCGAAGACGCTTATTCTTTGCAGCTTTTTACATTTTGACCTAGAAGAGTCCATATACCATGGAAGTCATGCTATAAGTGAGTTGCAAGTGTGAAACTTTCAAAAAAAGACAAAAAATACAAAATCACACTTAAACACTAATTCTTCTATGATTGGTGGCAAACATAGCGATTTCCAGCCACCAAAATTGTTGAATAATCAACTACTAAAATTTAAGAGACCCAGTCTCTAAAGATATTGACATAAATTCATTGACTGTCTTGCCCTTTGAACGGCAAGACAGAACTATTTCACATCTGTTTATCACACTGACTACTGTACATTATGGAGTTATGAAAAAATCATAATAAAATTAAGGGAATTAAAAGTAAAATTTTCTAAAAATCTCAATTAGCTGGTGTACATGCCTTAAAACAATTTTAAATGTAATTTCATTTATCCAGACAAATGGCCAAAGTGGCCAAACAATGTACACTAATTAACATGGGCTTCCCCTGTTGATGTTGGTCCAGTAAACACGGCGTGAAGGTTCATCGTTAGGGATTTCGGGTAAGACGAAGCTCCTTTCATCCGATAAACGCTACAGATAAGCTTCGAGGAGAATTCTTTTTTTTGACTCTGTTGTCTCAGATCATCCTGGTGTGAGAGATCATCGTTTGGGCTTTTGGGAAACACAGTTCCCTTTTCCTTCAATATACAGTTCAGATGTTCTTCCAGCAAACATTTCCTAACCCTGTTGTTCCAGATCCACTCGGCGTGGTATGATAGGGGTCGGGTTTGTCTTAGATAGTTTCCTTGGAAGCGGTGGCGGAGAGGAATCATCTTCTATTTGCGACACGGCACCAAAGCCATTTACCACATTGACATTTTCATAATGCAATGCTTTTGTTATCCGTGTTGTGCTGATGAGGGAAGCTTTCTTGTTTGATCGTTGTAGCTTTGGTGGAAGCTCGGGAGGGGATGTTTCCTCTGAAAGACTCTCACGCGGTAAGACATTTTCGTAAGCGTTATTATAGGAATTGCGAACCTTCGTGATTGCTTCATATTTTTGGTCAGCTCGCGGAGGCAGACATGATTTACCAGTCTCCAGTGCTTCGGAATGATGTCCATTCACTGAGCTTGCACCTTTTCTCGAACACACTACTGTTTCTTTCAGTCTTTTGCTCATTACAGAAGCAAGCTCAGGGCTGACAGTAATTTCCCACTGATTATTGGAGCAGCACGTAAACGACAGAGTCCTCCTCATGCGGGCCAATCGTTTCCAGCGCAGAGGTGGAACAGGATGACCTTGGAGGTCCAAATGGTCTCTGCTGTCCCTGAGGTCGCCGGTAGAGAGAGGATAGTCCTTCCAGGCATTAACACGTATAGCATCAGCACTCCCCACTCTGGTCAGCAACGGTTGGCTACGTTTTTCAAGGATCATATGTAATAACCCTTGGGGATCACCGGGAACGACCCCGACACAGTGGCAATTTGTGGGCAAAGAATAGCAAAGTTTTCGTGAATTGCTGTCATTTTGTTGCTTTGATCTTGGGATTATCATGCCTCCAACATCCATCTCGAACTTGGCTGTCGTGTTGTCAAAAATTTCACAGTTCTCGTATATGCTGTCAGTAGTTCCCTGCTTTTTACAGTCCTGCGTGAGATCTTCTTTTTGTAACGATTTTGGAGTCATACATTCGTACATGTAGCTCATTTGTTGTGAGGTGAGTGAAGAATTATTGCTCCTTTCCTCACTAGTTGCAGATTTTTGTGAGGGCATTCCATTATTAACTTTATGTTTACCAGTTTGTAGCTCGACGTTCTCGTAACAAGGTTTAAGACTTTGAGGCCTCTGATGTTCCTTCAAAAGCTCACTCATAGCAGACTTACTTTCCTTGCCATTGATCCTCAACTTATCGTGGCAGGCGTCAGTAGGTTGCCGAGTGGCGTTTGAGGAATTTCTAAGCTTGTGGTTGTCATAGCAACCTTCATCTGATGATACCACACCAGCACCGTTTAGTTTGTGGTTATCGTAATTCTGTTGTGTGGGCCGAGTGTAGGATCTGTTATCTCGAAGCTTTTGGTCACTTTGCACTCCATAGGCTGAATTATATCTGCTTCCATCTGCATCGTTACTGCTTTGATCTTTCGCAAGGTCTTGTCTTGAACTACGTTCTTGTTTCAAAGGTAAAGCATAGTTCTCGTATGAATGTTTCTTGTGCGCCGTCAATGGTTTGCCGGAGGAAGCAATTGTCACACCTGATCCTTTGGGATTTGATGGAACGGCTACAAACGGCCCAATTAATTCTTCATAAATGCTCTCTTCTTCATCTTCTTTGGTCAGAGGACGAACACATGACTCATTTTCTCCAGCTCCTTTCAAAACTGTCAGCATTTCTAGAGCAATTGTCTCTTCTATTCCAGAATCTCGATGAGATTTCTTACTTGGTAGTGGTGAGACCGTCTTGGAGAGCCTCGGAGAATTTTCTTGCAGTTCCGTTACTGGGCTGATTGGGAGTGACGCTGAAGTCTTTGGTGGGTCAGGAGAGGGAGCTACGGTTTCGCTGCCAGATAGCTGTGGGCTAGGAAAGTTTAAGTCAAAAGGGTATTTCTGGCCAGTGCTTGATAGAGGAGTGGAAGATGTGTCATTTTGCCGCCTTGCAAATCGTAATTCCCCTCTACTCTGTCTTGGAATGGGAATAGGGCTGGACACTGGTCCACTTGCAGGTGACATCAGCTCATGCGAGGTATCCTGGGTATCTTGCTTTCTGATGCTTGCATTTTCATAAAAAGCCGAGACCTTTGTTTTTCGTTGCAATGAGCTGTTCTCGCCAAATGAATAGGAAGAATATCCGCTATCAACGTCTGTGAGGGAGGCCAGGTCGCTTTCAACAGATCGACCAGAGAAGGTAGTACCAACACTGCTGCCGGTCTTAAACGAATCAGACGAATATATGAAGATGGGAGTCTCGTAGATGTGCTCACTACCGCAGTCTAAAGAATAAACGAGTTACAGAAATCAAAGTCTGAAGGATGTCATATGTGGTTTGTACCGTTCCCTACTGTCTTTCATGACAAGTAAAGATACAGTATAACATGCTTCTCGAACAAAGGAAACACACACGCCATTTGCGCAAGAACAAAATAATACACAAAAGCCAAAAAAGGAAAATTCGCATAACGGAAGGAATCTTACCACAGTTTGGTAGCTGATTACACTGTTTACTTCGCTTCTTAGTATTACTCCTGAGAAAGAAAGGATGACAAACGCTTACATTTCGCAGGAAGTTCAAGGTTAACTCAACCAAAAGATAAGAGAGGGGCTAATACTGTGCTCGTGTAAACCCCAAAAAGGCGTTGTATAACAAAAAAATAAATAAATAAAAAAAAATCACCTCGGTTTTGGAGACGTTCTGGTATTTACTGGTAAAACGGCTGAAAACAAACAGGAAATGGAATTAACCTTCAGTAAAATAATTTATTCCACTTCTTTTTTATTTATTTACTTATTTTTTAATGGTTGTTTACAAGAAGCATGTTTTCGAGACACGAGGCAGAATTATACACATTGAGGCGAGATAAATAAACAGTATTAAAATTAAAATCAGCACCCGATTTTTCCAAGGGTGATACCACTATGCACTGGATAAATGGTTATCCGGCGGATAGCGCGGTACGTTTTTTAAACACTTGTCCGCTGAATAGCAATTTATCCTTCCGATAACGTTATCTGCCCTTTGAAAAAAGGGCCTAGAAGAGTAATGAACACATTAGTCTAAACAGATGTGCTCTTCAGTGACATTGTACCTCGACGCATTCCACTTTCTACCAATTCTGACGGAAACATCCCGACTTTTCTAGTTCGCATGTTTTGTCCTTTCCACCAAGAAACATCGGGACTGCAAAGACAAAGAGAATTATAAACTCAGCAATCGGTGCACTTAAATGCATAATGTATTTTCGAATGATTCAGTCTTTGTTTATTACTTTTCATCACCCTACCTGGCTTCAAGAAGCGTGATAATGTCGCCTTTCTGAAAGCTCAGATTTTGTTGGCCCTTGCTCTCATAAGGGAGCACTGCAGCAACATTAATGGGGTGGGCCTTAAAAAAAAAACAAAAACAAAAACAAAAAAAAAAACAAAAAAACAAATGATTAAATAAAGTGATTACAATCATTTCTGTATTTTGTGGTTCAAGTGTTAATACATTTACAATTCACTTGAAAATACGATTACGGGATGTACACATTATTAATGGTAGCACGAAATGTTATTGTTCACCACAAGAGAGAAATCAGATCCAGGGAGACATCACAGAGAGGCCCCAGGGACCAAGGAAAAAAAATAGAGAATTGAGCTTGCTCAAAAGAAACATGTACAGCAAAAAATTTAGTTACTGAGAAGTTACTGACAGTGGTACATATAGAAGTTTGGTGCTCACCTCGTCGACTAGTTTCTTGAGCATATTGAACCTTGCTCGCTGGTGAGGCTCATGCGACCAGCAGAGTAACACCAAAATATTGTAGATTTCTGGAGGGCAGTGTTCAGGTCTCTTGGGTCTTTCACATGATGGCAAGTCCACTTTGTCCAATATCTGAATTTGAATGTACAATGTACATTTCAGGTAAAGGACTAAAGTTAAGTGCATGTACATGGACAACTTTCAAGAAGGGGGGCAGGGGGTGGGGGAAAGGGAATGATGTCACAGACCTTTCCATTAGAAGAGAGTTGATGGGAATAAAAATTAATAAGTAAATAAATGGGGGGGGGAGGGGTTCATGGGCATTCCAAGATCACACTAACCACGCCTTTAAACCATCTGGACTTTTTACCTCATTGAAAATAGTCATAAGTCCTACATTCAAGGTCATGAGAAATCATTCAATTATTCTGGAAGGTGTGTATGTAGACTGCAAAGATAAGAATGCTCTTCAGTGCATGCAAACATCATGCACAAACATCATGCACAAACAAATCTTAAGTATTTTAACTGCGTGCTCAGATGGTTCACTCACCTCAGCCCCATTAAGTCCTGGCCATGGTTCTATTCCATATGAGAATAATTCTAACACAGTGATACCAAAGGCCCAAACATCAGAAGCATGGGAAAACTTGCGGAATTTGAGAACCTCTTGCGGACACCTAACGCAAGAAAATCACAATCTTGAAGTAAACTTTTACCACAACAAAATGCAACGCTTCACATCTTGGATAACTTATCCTTCTTGACTGTATCAATTAACTGATCATTTGGTGTTAACATTTTAACCCTTTAATAGGTGATTGCCAGCTAATTTCTCCTTACATGATGCATGCTCTTCCTAGGCTTTTAAGGCCACGCTAAAGCCACAAAATTTGCTCATATTTCCAATGCTTCCGATATCCACTAGTAAAAACAATAAAACCTTAAACTCAGCACTACTGTAAACAGGCTTTACCCCTTACACCCTATGGGTGCATATTCTCCATGCTCTTCTCTATAGATTTCCTGAGCCTCTGACAAGGGGAATTTGTTTAATCACCTAACAGTCAAACATGAGGTGATGAGAAGAAACGAAATAATCACTAATTAAACAGGCTCTTGATAGTTTGACAAATAATTCTCCTTTTTACACCACAAGCAATATGCAGAAAAACATGTGGAAGATATTCATATTGATGTTTGAGTGCTCCTGAAGAAGTAATTAAAAGTAATGAGTATTAGTAACACTTACCATGCAAAAGGAATTTTGCCACTGGGATGCATTGTGTAGTGGTCGTCATCATCAGAGAGGACACGCATCATTCCAAAATCTCCAACCTTCACTTTCTCATATGACTCCAGCAAAAGATTGCGGGCTGCCAGATCACGATGAACAAACCTATGAGACTCAAGATAAGCCATCCCTGAAGCAATCTGGACCACAAAATCACTCAAACCACTGATAGTAAAGTTATGAGGTTCATCCCTAAGCCGTGCTAATAAGCAGCCAAGTGGAGCCAGCTCTGTGACCTGTTGCATTTAGAGTTAAACCAAAACAACATGAGTCTCACTGGAAGACTAGTACAAGATATGTACAACAGCAGTTATGAGTACAACTAAATTCCTTAAAATGCTACAGAGAATGAAGATATGCAGTGCAACCTAGACTATTTGTTGTTTGTTTGTTTGTTTACTTTGTTCTCTTTTTATGTCTTGTTTGTTGCTTTTCTTTGGTTAGTTTTATTTGTGTGCGTGTGTGTGTGTGTGTTTTATTGCTTTGAATTTTGCTATTGTTGCAACCTGTATTGTAATTTCTTCATCATTATCATTATTTGTCATGCATCCACGGTTCAGAGTTATTCTTTGTTGTTACTGAACATGAACATCAACCAATGTAAAAAAAGAACATAAAATTATATTTATTTTTTTAATCAAGGGTGAAATTTATGTTTGGTATTCATACATGTAAATTGTAAGCTGCATCTGGAATGCATATCAAGTACATGTAATAGTCGAGCCTACCAACATCATTGGTGCAGAAAGAACAACTCCATGAAGTCTGATAAGGTGTGGATGATCCAGCAGACTCATGGCATTAGCTTCCTTGATGAACTCCATCTGCATCTGTTGGAAAGCCTGGTCATTGTATGCCTTCAGACACTTCACAGCAACATCAACCTAATATTAAATAAACATTCAAGAGGGAATTATGAATGACACTAACCAAACCAAAAAAATTTAATAATTGAAAAAAAATTTAACAAATCAACAGTGGATCAGCATGGTCTGTACTCTTATCAACAGCAATAATCCTCACTACAATGGTCAAAATGCTGTGGACTCCCAAGGCACAGCCAAACAGGGCACGTTTCACCGCGATATCAATGTCTAATAAAACAATTCTTTCAGTGCCTGACCAGTGGGTGACACAATGATGCTAGCAGTGTTGTCTGTACTCTTAAGCAAATCGGCTAAAACAAATTGCAAAATTACTACCAATTGTGGTAAAAAAAGTTGATAGGAAAAAGAATAACAGCAAACACACTCTTTTCATGTACCATGTGAAGGTATGTTTGAAACACTTTGCTGTGTTCTAAATTCAATTATTTAATTCACACAGTACCTCTTTCCAGTTGAGATTGCTATTACAGGACAGGGCTCCAAGCTCAACATTTTTAAAAAAATTAAATTATAAAATGACTCAAGAAAGGGTGTTGCTGAGGTCCACAAGTTTGAACTGTAGAATCCAGGAACTAGCTAGAGGCCTGGCTGTAGGCTCAGAGGCCTGGCTTCTAACAGTACAGGCCACAGGAACAGCAGCACCTGCGCCCACGCAAGATGGCGGATTTATGTGCAAATTACATGCATGTTTTACATAGTATTACTGACATAAAATTTTACACGAACTATTACACGCACCTTAAACTAAACACAGTCTACACCTAATTCGACTCAATTAAAAATTGCTTTGTCCATTACATGAGGCTTGCATGTATTATTCACTTATGAATCTAACAATGGAAGTTAGAATCTCAGAGTCCTTGTTTCAATGTTCGAGAAATTTAGCCTTGCTTGTGCATACATGTTCTTAGAATAAGGTTTTATCGTCAGATTGCTGCTGTAATCAGTAGTTACATCTTTTTCTCTCATTTCAAACCACACTGAAGTTTCCTTTATCCTTATCAATCACAATTCAACAGTTTTAGCTGTAATGAGCAAATGATCAATGGAAGTGCTTGATGTTATGTGACATTACTGAAAAACAACCAAAATCAGAACTTGTGTTTTGATTTAGATATTCAATTTGCTCACTTGGTTTGAGGGATCGCATGTGGTAGAAAGGCAAAAGGTTAGTTTCAACTGTAAATGGGAGGATCTCAAGCATACATATATGTCACTCAATATTCAAGAAACAAAGTATTAATACACTTTCATGCATGTAATGTTTTACATTTAGGTGTTGTTCACTGGGACTGAGAAACCTGTTTTGAGTGAAGGCGAAACTTTGAACAGGGACAATTTTTTCTTTAACTTTGTTGTGGAATTGTAAATAATTTATTTAGAGTTTAAACATAAATGTGACTGCATCCTTGGCAAAGAGTAGTAGCAGAGTGAGGTTACCGAGGTTGTAAACCTTTTAAATATGGAATACGAGTGGATGTATTCCTCAATGTTTAGGTCTGACCAGGAAGTGATTGAAGGAGAGAATCGAACAAATTCAAACCTTCCTCCAATGACAAGTTACCCTGGATGAAAGTGAGGTCAAAGGTCAAAAGGTCAAAGCCAATAAATTACTTCTCAAGTTGGTGAGAAATCTCAAATCTTACAAAGATTTACTGGAACAGCTAAGAGAAGCATCTAAGCATGACAAAGCTAAAACTTAATGACTAGAAGACAAAATAGAGGAGTTCAGTGTTCTCTCACTTGATGGTGACAAAGGTATTTGCGATCTTGAAATACTTCTGGCAAATATTACTAGGCAAAAACAGGAGACAACTGAAAAGAACTGCAGGAAAGAGTTCAGCAAAGGGAACTTCAAATGGACAAACTCCAACAAGAGAGGGGACCTTTAGCGTGGCAGAACTTAATCAAGAGAAAGAGTTGAAATGAAAAAATAATCTAAAAAAACTAGCAAGTTTCAAGGAAAATTTGGTCACCTATTTATTTTTTCTTTCTTGCTGTGTTGACCAAAATGGGTAAAACTTAGAGTGACAAATGGCATGGTGCCACTGTCCAGGGAACCTGACCTACATGTAATGCAGGACGTGAACTTGCAAAGGATTTCAGCATCTCATCCATAGGTAAGGGCAATACCTCATTACCAATAAGTGCCATTGAAATGGGGATTAATACTGGAAACTACACTCTACACAGATTCTACAAATTGAAGATATATGCCAGTGGTTAAATGTTTAGTTCACCTTCTTGTGGGAGTTCTTCGTCCATAATCCTCTCCTCACATAACCAAAGGCACCATTTCCAAGCATTTCATAAAGAGAAATAGACTGCTCAGTGATAACACAAGTCAAGGAGTTGCCAGCAACTCCATAGCAACTTGTGCGCTCTGGTGGCGATCCTGTTTGACTCTCTGACTTCTTTGATTTCTATTATGAACACAAAATGAGCAAGTTTATTTATTGTATGATCAGCTGTAAAATTTATAACAATTATGTGTATCTACATGTACATTGTACAGTCAGCGACATAAAAATGAAGGGAGGTGGGTGTCACTATCCATTGCTTTAGTTATCATTATGCCAACTACCCATGACTTTGTACCATATGAAACAACCATTCATTGGGATTACAGACATTGAGGGGATAAAGAGGTGATTTCATTAAAAAAAGGCCACACTGAGCCTTAAAGAGTCTCTACAGACCTTACTTTGTTACAGAGTCACAACTCAAATCAACCTAGTTTGAAATCGTGTCTTTGGTTTCATGTTAAAAATTGTTTGTCATCAAATGAACTTTGAAATATTACATGGTGGTTAAGCATGTGTAGTTAAGTTTAATTCACTTTAAGCTGCCTTATCGCAAGTAACATCAGTTTTCAAGTGCAATTTAAGGCAGAATTCATGAGTCAGGTAATGGAATTTCCTTGAATTGGTTAACTGAATAAAAATAATTAAAAACAAATTAGAGTAATTGTGGTGTTACAATTTGATGACAATTGTTATCTAGTAGATACAACATCATTTAGCCTCCTTTTCAACTTAGGATTCCATGCTAAATACCTTCCTTCATATATTAGCCAATCAGAATGCAAGATTTTATTCAATATTGCAACTCTGTTTGAAATTGCACTTCTTGTTCTTATCTAACAAATCAGACTCAAGGCTGTGCTCTAAGGAAAATTGAATGGAGCCCAGTGCTCTGAAACTGTGAAATCCAGGGTGCCCAGCATATGCTTTCTATGCAGGGCTCGACACTAATGGTAGCCCACTTGCCACAGACTAGTAGAAATGTAGTTTTGGTTGGTGATTTTTGGTTTCCACTTGCCAGTCTGGCTAGTAAACGAACTGACATTGTCGTGGCATCTAAGATGTCACCAGCCACTTGGCTAGTAAGTTGAAAAGTATATATTTTGTATATATTTTATAATGATTATATAGTTTTTAAGTTTTACATTTGTAGGTATATTACTTGTATACGACTCAGAGTGGAATTTACCGTGTATAAATAACGTGATCTATCTATCTATCTATCCAAAGTTAGTATCAAGCTTTGTTATGAAAAAAACTAAAATTTCTGAGTCACCCAAGAGCAAAAGTAAGGCGCCAGGGGCCACTGGGCACTGCTAGACCACAACCTTGAAACTTGTGCTTTGCAGTCATTGGATTTTAATTTGTTAATCATTTGACAGACTGAATTAGACTCCACTCATTCCATTACCATTAAAATTATACAAATAAACAATATAATTTTCAAAGATGAGTGGCACATCGACCATAATTATGATTGCCAGTGCAGGAAATTGACACAGGAACCATTGTTTCACATATTTATGAAAATATCGGCTTTTTAAATTCACTTTCCATGAATTTCTGTTTACAGTTTCTAATATGCGTCTTTTTATCAGTTTCACATAGTCATCTCATTTGAGATCAGATGATTTCACACACATCCGTTTATGGCGTTGTTCTTACAATTAATTGTATTAGGGAATTTGCTTAAAAGTGACAGTCCCACTGAAATCTTAACTACCTATCTCTTGGGCATTATAACGGAATTAAAACACAGACATTAAAAGGCAAAAGTCCAGTGGAATTAGGTTTGTAGGGAATACTGGACATATTTGAAATGTTCGTTTACAATAGTTCTAAACTCTGATGAGTCAAAGGTTATTTAAATTATGTCTAAAAACCGAAATTATAAATACCGAAAAAAAAAAACCCAGATAAATTTAATTCATATGTAAGTTTTCAACTGTTTAAGAAATGAAAATGAAGACTAAACAGTTCCTTTCGTTCACTGGTAGAGTAGTAAAAGCGTCATTTGAGTATAAATGAATTTTTTTTCCGCTCTGTCCCCGCTGTGAAACCAGACGACAGAAATTAAACGACACACGTGGACAAGTACTCGAAGTGGACTGTTAGTGACTTCATGGTTTCTTTCGTTTAACAGCATTATAAAAGTGTTCTGTACCACTCAAATTAAATAAAGTTTTGTATTCATTTCTTTTAACTTCAGTTCAAATCCTTAAAATGGCGTGAAATACGATCGTGGAACTAATTCGTGAACAAGTTTTACCGGTCGTCGATAATGTCGATCGTGTGTTCTCAGATTACACCAAGAGTACGCAACTCATAACAATAAATTAAGTCGAGGGTGATTTTTAGCCAATAGACTTCATATTGAACTATAATATAAACAAGGAAAGACATGGTGAAAGTAAAATTTCCTCACTTAAAAAAATTAGGACAAAATCGACAGACGCGTAGAATTAGAGAAAGTCAAAACAAGATCACAGACGTAAGGAAACGCGCGCCAATTTCGTCATCTGAACATCAGACAGAGAGTTCTAGAGTTTAGACAATCACCTTTCTCCTGAAGCTGCTAAATAACGATTTCTTCTTCGCTTTCTTTAGTGCTTCAAACAAACGTCTCTGTTCTGGTTTTGCCATTCCGAGGTCGTCTAAATCCTCTTCCGTTACGTGATCAAAGTGCGACAGACGAGTAACATGTAGTTTGCCATGGATCTGTCGGTAGTACTGTTCTAGCTGAATGTCCTGTAATAGAGCTTTGACCTTCGCTTCTTCTGTGTTATCCATTTTAAACCGTTTTCATTTACAATGTCGAATTTTTCGATGACAAACTATATTTTATTATTCCGCGTTGCCATCGCCTCGAGTTCAGCTTTCATTCATTCCTGTGGTTACTAATTCGTAGTAAAACTGGTGCGGCAATTCGCAAGTAGTAGGAATCTGGCTCTCAATCCACTATCATGAATCACTCAATACCTGTTTCATAACAAATTTAACATCCAATAAAATTTCCCATGGATGAAAATAGCTGCTAAAAATATACACTACAAGGAAGTATACTCGATGTCATTTTTCTACGAGGATAAAACGTAATATGATTTACACAAGCTTTCAGCACAGACTCGGCGTTCAAAAATTCTCTCAACACATCTAATACGGAGGTGTGACACCTTTCGTCAGCCAATCATTTCGCTTATAGAAAAACAATCATCACGTACTCACACGCTGTGGGAGATAACCATCACGCATCACCTGACATAGAACGATCTCGATCTTATAATTTATTGATGACCATCACTAAGATACCATGAGAAACACAACTGATGATCATAATAAAACTATGCCTACTAAAAATGGAACACGATCGCACGAGTCGCACGTTAGAAGGCAAATGTAAACAGTGCGGGGGAGGGTCGGGTCGTTTCACAGTTCCGTGCATGTGCGTACACATTATTCCGACCCAGAGGTCGTAAATCATCAATTAAGAGTTTGAAATATCGCCTAAGGCCTTTGGTAATTTCAAACTCCAAGCCTTTCAACAGCTGAACCTAAAGATTTCTTTATTTTACTACATGACCTACCCGGCAGATAATCACGATGATGACAACGTACTTAAAAAAGAATAATAACAAAGAAAGGGAAACTACCTCTAACCGAGTTAAAGATACTCATAACCACAGTTGGGTCTTAACACAGGATGGTATACTTCAAATAGGAAAATCGACTGTTTTTTATTTATTTATTTTCTTACGTAATTCCATATTTAAATTTAGCAGCGGCTTTGTTATACGAGATGAGTCTGCCTTCGTCAACGACTGTACGTAAACCCAAAGGATCCGGAGTTTGAAACCGCAACACGCACCGATTTTCTTTCTTTTTTCTTTTTTTTTTTTATATATATATATCTATTTATTTTTTTTTTTTCGTTAATGACTTTTGTCGGCTTAACTTTTCGTCAAAACCTCCAACCAATACCATACTCCTTTAGAATACTTTTGTACATTGAAACGCAGAATCTGCCACGAATGCGAGAAGCAAATAAATTTGAAAAGGGATAAAATCCATTGTACAAGTCATTCGTTCCTGCTGAAAGCAGTTTCCGGCTGTGGCTTAGAAGATGTTAACCGGCACAGAACCCCAATTTATAAACCATTGTGCCAATTATCTGTCATTGCCATCGTTATTGTCATTGTTATTGTCAGCGCAATTATTTTCTTTTCTTTATTTCTTTTCTTTTCGGGGGAGGGTACGGGGAAGAGGGAGGAAGGGAGGGTGGGGTAAAGTCTAATAAAGAACAATAATGGTTTATTCAGAGGAAAAAAACATCGTGCTTTCCTTGTTTCATTGATTAAATTTCTTTCATTTGCAGTTATCCACACTTGCTGTATCAAGCAATAAGCCGTCAGATTATATATCGAATATAGTCAGAGTAATAAGTGCTAAGAACAGTAGATAGTAGATGAGAACTATATGAATGTTATCATTAAATTTATTGTTATTGCTATCATCATTGTCATCACTACTATTACTACTGCTGCTAGCATTCGACCGGCGACTGTTTATAGGAAGATCCAATTGCAGTCAAATTTCTCTTGTCTCGGTGGTCCGGAAATGACGTACACTCAATGTTAAGTGTTGGAAAGCTTCCATCATTATAGATTTGTATAGTTACAAAAAAAAAAAAAAAAATTCGAGTGCAATTCGGAATTTAAGCTCTAGATTTTTAAGAACAGAGGAGTGATCCCTTAGCGATACACGTGGGGTATATGAATGCTTCTGAATTTGGAAGTTATTTTAAATTACAAAGGGAATCATTCGATTGCTTGTCAATACTGATAAATGCAAATCGAACTCTACGCCTCAATTTCGGATTCTCGACCAACGAATATACTGTAGCTTTTGTACACATACTTTTAGTACAATTTATGCGATAATTTATGCGAGAGTTATAGTTATAGTGTTACACGCCTTCTTTTGACTCTTTTATAACTTTTAAGGGTAAATGTGTATTTTTTGTCTCTATCTGCAGATCTAGAGCCGATCGTAAGAAAAAATAAGAATGATATTCTTAACAACTGAATCGATCGAGGCTAACGCCAAAGTTGATCATCTAAAAGTTGAAACGTTTCAGTTGTTATTTACTAGAGCCATCGAGTCTGTTCGAAGGGTGTTTGGTGCAATCTGCAGCTGATTAACTGCGCTCCTATTTAGCTTGGTAAGGTAAGCAGCACAACAAAGTACGATGCTATTATTCCTAAGAGCTGAAGAAAGAAAGGGAAAGAGTCAGGCGAAATATCAGTCATAAATAATTCATTTATATCCTTAAAAAGTTGACAGATCTACTTGATGTTTTCTACGATTTATACTAACCGTTAAGAATAAGGACTTGTTGACCACTGCGACACCTCCTACTGACAAACCGATAGGATCCCCTTGCAAATGTGCCAGGAAAAGAGTCAGCTACAAAAAAAGGAGAAGGAAGAAACGAGGTTACCAAGACTACCTTCACCCATACGTGGTCTTTATGAAGATAAGTTTGGACTGTATAAAGAGGTGAAGGAGATCCAGAGTATGATACACTGCTAGAATGAGCTGACAAAACTAGAGGGAACTAATAGTAAGCTTCTGCTTGGCTAACGAAAGGGCAGAAATCCGTTAATAATTTTTTGCGGCAACTGAATTTCGAACCACCCGAGAGAGTCTTAGAACTCCTCTTTCATCTGCGCCGTATTATGCTTTCAATGTAGTGTGAGCGTAAATCGAAATTACAATTTCAATTCCGCAATTTTTATACTAACGGTTCTGAAATAATTACAAATTACTGGTTGTCCTTAATTTTACTCAAAATCATACAATTTCATGTGTACCATAACTGGTTACAAGTTCTTTCACTGAGTCCTACATCTAGAACAATTATTCGTTTCGATCGTGAAATCGTGATGTATTCTAATTAACTGAGTAACGCAATTCTTAGCGTTATTGTGGAGATTCCGGCGGAGTACATGGGTTACGTACCTCGGCGTGTTCTTTGAGGTCTTCGATGGACACGTGTGACTTTTGAATCGTTTCATAGAAACTGTGAGCCTGCAGGTGTAAAGATGGCATAGCGTTATGTTCCAAATACATGTCCTAAATATATCTTTATCTTAGATGAAACAAACTCAAACAGGACGAACGAAAACAATACAAAACACAACAGGAACAATCGTATTTCATAACTTCATAATCGGTTTTAGCAAACTATTGAACTACTGTTATTGACAATGGTGTAATTATATATCGAATCAAAATGAATATTTCATGGATCAAGATGAAATTAATTTCCACATTTAATTACTTGTGCTTTCCTCTTGATAAACTATTAAAATGATAAAAGAGAGCATTACGATTTGTACAGGATTTGCATAAGTAATAGAGTAATATTGCTCAGTTTCATTCGTGGTTTGCGCGCCTTGAAGATTTTTATTTTTTCTTGGTTAGGTGAGATTTGGTTGAGAAGAAAAACTTACCTTATCGTTCACTCGATTTCCATACAAGAACATGACAATCAATAAAGAAGATATACAGAAAGTCCAATAGAAATAACCGACAATCATGATGCGGTCGGTTTGGGCCGACGACTTTATGAGTTGATGGAAGTTGACGCAAATTAATGGAACATCCAATGTGACAATGACAAAAAGAAATGGCGAGAAAATGGCATTTGCCAATTTTACTGTGTGACACAACTTCAAATGCTCTTTTCTTAAGTGCGCGATGCTCAAAGTGTGGATTAACCTTTCAGAAACTTGTTTCTGGTAATTTGTGAACATTGGTTCCAGAAGCATACAAATGACGCAGAAAACTAGCACAGGGACACACCAAGAGAAGGAGCAGTAAGTTCCCAATATGAGTTCGAACCATCGAATAAAGGTGTTTTTTTCCCACGGTGGAAACACAGCTACGACACCTCCAGTATAAACGCTCATCGTAACAACGACGACAGAATTTATTGCTGCTGCAGAGCACGCTAATGCCAAGCCCTTGACTGCCTTCACCTTTATACCGTCTAGCTTAAGCTCTGGTGTTGCCTCGACAAGACCAGAAATGTACATATAAAATTTCGATTGCCTACTTTGAGAAAATGGAAAAGCAACTAAGAAAATAGTCGTGGCAGTCGCACATTGGATATACCAAACCGAGGAAATGAGTAAAAAGAAAAACTGATCCATCGCCTGGAACCCTAAGTAGAAATGGCTTGTCACTGCAATTAAAACGAGCAACCACTGGCCCAGAGCGACAAGAATGCTGTAAAATCGCGACACGCACCACGTATTTCGCATATTTTCCTCAAACACTGCCGTTGTGCCAAAGTATTGTCCTGTGAGTTTCATAACGAGAAATATTGGACGCAAGATCTCTGACAGCTGTTTGTGTAGATTTTTCACCATTTCTTCGTTCCTATGATATTCTTCGGTCGGGATTTGACTGCATTTACTGTCTCCCGAATCTTTGCGATGTCCTTCCATCGCATCAACTGATCTGTGAAACATCGTGTTTTCTCGAATCAGGACCGATTCTTACTAAATGTTATGGATCGGTCACCAGGTTTATCAGGCAGCTGTTGTTTATAACTTCTATTAGATGAGAGCTTGATCTTAAATCATAATTGCCGATCGGTAATTATACCTGGCTAGTTCATTAGTGGCTGTAAGGACCTCATATTGAACGAGAAAAACTCGTGTTATCCATTCATTGGGTCGTATTAGATGTTCTTTGTTCCTCTGCGCTATTGACAACAAATTGCAATACCTCCTTGTCATTAGAAAAATGAAAATGTCAAATAAGAACTAATTATGTATGTAAACAACACTCTTCGGTTTGAATGCTTCTCAATTGGGCAGTCGTCGACTTCACTGTCATGCCACTGTGGCTTTGTCATTTTCTCGTAATGTATAGTTTTGCTCACTCAGCTAACTCGAAGTTTCGTGCAGTGATTTCCGCTTCACCTAAACGTACACCATAAAAGCGATTATTTTATGCATCCTCTCATTTTTATTATTGTATTCTTTCATCATTAAAATAACTCTCTAATTTCGCAAATATTTAATTTAAACGAAGAGGTAGAAATCGGAGACAATATTTCATTAACACCAGATGATATGAGGATAAAGAACTACTGACAACATGACCGAGAAGTTTATGTTCCATCGTTAGCATACATCCCTTCAACTCGCTGTGCTGTAAAGAGGAGAATAAAGTGATGACCCAAAATCTCAATCGAGCAGTAAAAAGAGGAAGTGCACCAAGCTTTCCTGCGTTGTGTTATTCAGAAATTTTTAATGACGATCAAAAGTTGTTCTGAAATTGAAATATGCCTCGTTGCAAGACGTGGTAATTTTATGGTCACGATCGATGCCGCAACGTCGTGTCCCTTCTATGCATTAATTCATATAAGATCAAAGCACAGAAGCATAGCACTTTAGTACCGTACGACAGGCTTTTTAAGTAACTGAGTCATATACTCGGCAAGTTGTTATCGAAATATTCTTAAAGGAAATATATGTTCACTAATGGGAGCGCTCTACTAATAATCATAACTAGAAATAAGGTTTATTGTTTCATGATAGGTTCCTTCGTCACTAGAATAGCGAAAAGGGACAACGCAGTACAGAAGGGTAATACGTTTCTGGGAACCTTTGAAACCAGGAGGGAAAGAAAACAAGAGAAAACAAGCTTGTCCACACCAGGATGCCTAACCCAGTACCCTTTACAGGCGAGTTTGCGCATCCAAAATTGGTATTCTTGCACATATGTGGTGTGTGTCAAACACCTGCCATTGACCTTTCCTGCCTTCCTATCTGTCTCAAGAGACAGATAGGAGGAGATATCGTCATGCTTTTGGTAAGTAAAGAGCGCAACGGAGTTAGGATTGTAGTTTGATAGGAAAACCAACCAGATTCCTGAAAATGATATACTGAAGGGAGGAAGGAAGGAATTCTCGATGGCAGTAAAACCTCTAGCTTTTAGACATCTTAGAGCAACAGGATTTAATTGACAGGATTTTTTTCTCTGGACAACATCTGCATTTGCGGTTTTGTTCCTTTAATGGAAAGATGACTTATTGAATAAAACTAACGTCGTAGAGTTTCCTCTCTCGACACCGCCATTTAATTACTTTAAACAAAGCGCAATCCTCTCAAGATTTTTTCATTCAGCGACTAGTACTGGTAAATATTCTATAAGTTGACAAGGAAGAGTTATTTTGAAGTCAAATAGTACCATTATTTATATTAGTCTTGAAACAAGTTAATTAAAACAGGTGTGTCTCACTGATTTGAATGCAATTCATAGATCAACCGCAATTTTCGCTGCCCAAATAGACCACTGCATTAACTTTAAGCAGCTAGCTTTCTCAAGGAGTAAAATTTTAAAAAAAATTCTATCTTTCCGAAAAATTTGTCTAAGATAAAATTGCAGTAAGCAAGAAACAAACTCACCTTTTCATGGACCTGATTCCCAAATGAAAACAAAATCAGCAACAACACGATTACGAAGAGAGTCCAGTACACAAAAGCTATGATGGCAATGCGGTCGGTATCGCCCCGCACAAGTTGATAGCTGTTGATGCAAATTAATGTTGCATCCAATGAGATGATGGCACAGAGGAGCGGCGAAAATACAGTGCTGGCCAAGTCCACAACCTCACAAAGCTTCACGTGTTCTTTACGCACGTACGAGATGGTGAAATTGTGTATGGATTCATTGGAGAGTTTATTTTCTAGGGTTGAGAACATCCTCTCCAGAAGCATACAAGTGATGCAAAACATCAAAACGGGCAAGAACATGGCGAATGAACAGAAAAATGGAATTACTACCTCGGCAACTCGAACGAATTTGTGCGCAAACAGTTTCCATGGTGGGAAAAGAGAGATTATGCCACCAGAACGCATGCTGAAAAGGCCAATAATGACGGTATTGGCAACTGCTGCAGAAGAAGCAAATATGAGGCCTTTCACCGCCTTAGCCTTGATACCCTTGAGCTCGGGCTCTGTCTCTACAAAACAGGAGAGAAATTTCGAAAATCTCGATCGCTTGTCCTTAGAAAGAGGCATCATGACTAAGCAAATAGTTGCACCACTCGCACATTGAGTATACCAAACAACGGTCTGCAGTAAGAAGATGAATTTGTTCATGTCACTCAAACCGATATGACAGTGACTTGTTACAGCGAATACAATAAGCAAATACTGACTCAGAGTGACAAGAGCGCTGTAGAAACACGAAAAATTCCATGTTCTCTGCTTATTGTCGTCATTGACTGCTGTTGGACCGAAAAAGTGCCCTGTTAGCTTCATGGCTGTTAAAGTGGGGCGGAGGATCTCAGATAGCTGTTTACGAAGGTTCACCGTTGACCTTTCGTACTCTTGACATTGCACGGAAGGGATGTTATTACCACCGAGACTTACATCTCTTTCATTAATTTCTAGCACTTGAATTGAACGTTGCGGCATAGCGTTGCTCTCTCGATCAATAATTTCTTCTTGATAAATGGATCACGTACCGTTGACGTTACTAACGTCGTTACTTTAACATACTAATCAGGTGAAGCTTACAAACAATGATTAAATAGAGCTGGGAGATTGTGAAATTCTGAACTTCTTAAATATGTTATTAATTATACATGTTTCAGCGATGTAATCAGTGCCCTTGAATATTTCTTGTTTTGACAAAACCATGCTGAGTTCAGATTGAATCAGTCACGTTTGCAGTAATTCACTCCGCATCGCTTAATTTTCGGCGCTTGAGCCAGCAGATTTCATTTTCATTTAGGAGGTCAAGCCAAAAAAATTACAGATATATGGCGATATGATTTCTATTTTTCTTCTAATTTTGGCAGAAATGAATATCTTTAAGCTCTACCATGTATGTGGACGGGAGCTTTCTGGAATAACATTCATCCCACAGGGCTGATTTTGAAAACAGTATTTCGAAATTCATTACAGAGCAGTTTAAATCGCCTATAGTTGAATCATCAAATTTTTCTATTAATTCAAACAACCTTCCATTTGTTTTTTTTATTTTTTTCGTTATTGACCTACCTAAAAAATAACACTTTGCTAATATTTGCCAATCGATGGCGTCTATGATAAGTGTTTCTCCAAACTGACAGAACTAAAGACAAAAAAAAAGCAATTTCAATTGAAAAAAAAATCTGCTGCTGTGGTGTTACTGCAATTATTTAAATTCTTTAGAAATTCCCATGGAGTACGTCAAAGCACTCCTTATGCATGACAATATATATGTTTTCTTCTTTCCTTCTTTATTTCCTATGGATTTTGTAAAGGTAAAAGCTTGAGGTCGAGTTTTCAAACATTGTACACACTACCAACCTATCAACTATATTAGAAATAAATATTTTTGCCGAAAAAAATTGCAATTTAATAAAGTAAGAATACGATGAATATATGAAGTTCATTAATTTGAACTGCGGTTATAGATACGTATGATGCAAGATCCTCGCAGTAGAGAGCGCTATTTATGCAACAATGAAAATCAGACCTGAAAAAAATCAGGCCTGTACGGCATTCGAACCACTGACCTCTGCGATACTAGTGCAGCGCTCTACCAATTGAGCTAACAAGCCAACTGTTAGCAGGCCGTTAAGTTGATTCGTAATAAACCCGTGATGATAAATCAGATGCGATGAATATATGAAGTTTATTACGAATCAACATAACGGCCTGCTCCCAGTTGGCTTGTTAGCTCAATTGGTAGAGCGCTGCACTAGTATCGCAGAGGTCAGTGGTTCGAATGCCGTACAGGCCTGATTTTTTTCAGGTCTGATTTTCATTGTTGCATAAATAGCGCTCTCTACTGCGAGGATCTTGCATCATACGTATCTATAACCGCAGTTCAAATTTATGAACTTCATATATTCATCGTATTCTTACTTTATTAAATTGCAATTTTTTTCGGCAAAAATATTTATTTCTAATATAGTTGATAGGTTGGTAGTGTGTACAATGTTTGAAAACTTGACCTCAAGCTTTTACCTTTACAAAATCCATAGGAAATAAAGAAGGAAAGAAGAAAACATATATATTGTCATGCATAAGGAGTGCTTTGACGTACTCCATGGGAATTTCTAAAGAATTTAAATAATTGCAGTAACACCACAGCAGCAGATTTTTTTTTCAATTGAAATTGCTTTTTTTTTGTCTTTAGTTCTGTCAGTTTGGAGAAACACTTATCATAGACGCCATCGATTGGCAAATATTAGCAAAGTGTTAT